CAGCTTCATCTGGTGGTCATGTCACCACGTGTGCTTATATCAAAATATAAAGCTGTCCACGTTAAACATATGCAATAACATCTGAGCAGGAATCAACTAGAAACCAAACACTAGAGAAAAGAACAGAGTCAAACGGTGCTTCATTGAAAATATGCACTAAAATGGATAAACACACGGAAAGAACAATGAAGAGAGTGCCAGCCACACAGACACAATGAGGAAACGGAGCCAAATCTATGAACATGACCTTGTGAGGTATATGGACACAGCCAGTGCCTAACTATGGTTCCCAAGACATAGGTCAACTGATGGGATCTCCATTCTCACAGGGCTTTGCTGGGAGGTGGGAACTTCCCAGAGCACAGCCCAGGAAGGGAAAACCCAAGCACATGTGTCAGTCCTACTGAACAGGAGAAACGAAGGCGCTGTTCCCAAAGGGGCCTCATCATTGATCTTTCTAACTCTCCCTCTCCCTTCCTCTCTGAAATCAATAAATATATACTTTAATATATGTTTTTCTCTCACTTTAATCTGCTATATCTATTATATTTTCATATTCCCAGTGCAGTCCAGTCTACATATCTTAGTTTTCACTTCATAGTATAGCTACACTTAACACCAATGCTTGAAGTCAAAAACTATGAGACACGTATAAAAACACAAGTTTCCCTAAGAGACCAACTAAATACTATTGGGAGAATCTTGTTAAATTAGTTAGGAACAGAAGAACTTCTGGTGGTTGCTTTCAAGCAGTGGGCATACATCCCTAAAAAAATTGTAATTCCCTACTCTCATCATCTCCATTAAAGAAAACGGTGCTGTTAAAACATTGCCAGGGCAGGTGCCTCTATCCAAAAGAGTAACAGCTGAGACTGTACAAAGTGTGAGGCCACATTGTTCCTACTGTTAGAAGCCATCATTAAGATTTGGGATAAGAATAATAATCCCATATTGACACTCCCTGCTGTGAATCAGTAGAAACATCCAGTTTGCACAGGGACGGATGAATTGGGCCAAAGGTGACTTTTATTTAGCCAGTCCCTGTACTTTCCATCATTCCTGCAAATGACTTATTGTGAGAGATTGTCCCTAATGAATGCAGAGACCAAAGTTTTGGTAAATTACCTTCTAATACCCATAGCCGGTGAGTTCGACTGCTGGTCAAGGGCACATATCTTGGTGGCAGTTTCCATCCCGGGCCCTGGTCCGAGCTTGTTCGAGAGGCAACCAGTCTATGTGTCTCTCACATCAATGTGTGTGTGTGTCTCTCTCTTCCTCTTCTCCCTCATATTCATTCTCTCTCTAAAGTTCAATGGAAAAAATATCCTCAGGTGAAGATTTTTTAAAAAGTAAAAACAAATGAAAATGGGCAAAGTCCTACTTAAGAAGGAGCCAAATATTCCCGTCAGTTTCAACTCACCTTGTCCACGAGCCCAGGAGACCCACAGGGTGAGGATGACGGTGACTAGGAACTGCATGGTGGGCTCCCCGGGTGTGTTAGCACAGAGAGTCCAGCGCTGCTGTTTGGGGTTTAAATCCGCTGTAGTTACCTAGAGTGGCTCTGAATTTAAGTGAAATAAAGGGAAGCTAGTTTACACAGGTCACTTAGTAAATATCAAAGTGCAAAAAGCTTTGCAAAACCCCTCAGTTTTCATTAATAATCAACTACCATTTGATTGCCCAAAATGGATATTATAAGCCCTAGATCAACTAGAAAAAATAGATACCTAATAACTAACAAATGGTATGAAATTAAATGCTAAAAGCATAGACTAATGTAAAAGGATGAAGAGGATTCTAAAGAATACTAGCAAAAGTGGCACAAATTAGAATTGGCAAATGGCATAAATAAATCCATCAGTAGTCATTATTGATGGTAAATCACAATGACAAGCCAATAAGAAAGAAGATGAAGTAGAATTGAACAAAGAGAAAAACCAATTATGAGCTGTTTCCCTAAAGACTAATATAAATATTAAAAAATGGCCAGTTGAGACTGCCCGGTATGGCTCTTTCATGATTTAAGAAGAAGACGGGAGAGAGAGAGAGAGAGAAGCATCGATGTGAGAGAGACACATCAATTGCTTGTGTCCTGTGCCCTCTCCGACTGGCACAGGGATGAAACCTGCAACCCAGATACATGCCCTTGTCCAGGACTTGAACCGCAGACCCTCTGGTCCTTGGACCAACACTCTGACCACTGAACCAGAAGGACAATTTTAACATATAATTTTTGATTATGTAATTTCCACAGTATATTCGAAGCTCATGTGTTTTGTTTGACCGGTTAAACATTCGATTCAATAGGCAGAAAGTCACACTGTTATGTCCATTGCTGTTTATTGCTCTATTGGCAAGTAGTCTAATCCCACGACGGTGAAGAATCATTGCTTGGTACAAGTGTAAGCAATGATATAGTTGCGCTAACAATTTTGGGAGAAGATTAAGTTTAAAAAGAGGCTAACATATTGCTTTTATGTCTGTTGAAATATAGTGGAGAAGAGCAGGAAATGCCAGAAGCCTGGCAAGCTTTCAGGCAAGAAGAGCAGTAGGTGGGACTGGCCACATATTTGGGGCCACAGGGCTTCCTCATTCACATCTGGGGAACTTCACTGCCCCTTCCGAACACACAGCTTGAAATGACTCCTCTGACGTCACCGCCTTGCGTCCCGATTTGCACATAAATTCAATGATATCCCTGCTTTTGCATAGGTTTTGTCATCATTCCCTTTTAACTATATGTTCTTTTAATTCATGATTTCTTCTGATATTACACATGGATCGGATCTGAAAGTAGAAAAAAATGAATAAAAACAATTAGTAACCTTTCCTTTTATAAACAAATAAACCTTCAACCCAATGACTAGCTTAGAGGATGAAGTTATAGAAAGAGCTAATGTACATCATCAATGTGGGCCGAGTCCTGTTCTCAGCCCCGGTCTGTGGGCCCTCACAGCTCCTCAGCGGGCAGCTGCTCCTCCTCACACACCAGGAAGCTGAGGGGATGGAAGGTCAGGCACACCTGTCCAAGGTCACAGCGCTCACCAGGTGGACGGTGAGTGTGGACCCGGCAGTGTGACCCCAGGGCCTGGGCTCTCTGTCTCTGGGATGTGGGACACCCACACAGGTGATGTACAAATACATTAGCTGTTTCCATTATTTTGTCTTCTAAGCTAGTCATTGGGTTGAAACTTTATTTGTTTATAAAAAAGAAAGATTATTACTTAATTTTATTTATTTCTTCTACTTTCACATCCATGTTTAATATGGGAAAAATCATGAATGAAAAGAACATACAGTTAAAAGGCAAAGATGTGAATGAGGAAGCCCTGTGGCCCCAAATATGTGGCCAGTCCCACCTACTGCTCTTTGCTCAAAGCTTGCCAGGCTTCTGGCATTTCCTGCTCTTTCCACTATATTTCAAAGGACATAAAGGCAATATGTTAGCCTCCTTTTCAACTTAATCTTCTCCCAAAGTTGTTAACGCAACCATATCATCACTTACACTGGTACCAAGACAATAATTCTTCACTATCATGAGATTAGAATACTTGGCAATAGAGCAATAAACAGCAATGGGCGTAACAGCATGGCTCTCTGCATATTGAATTGGATGTTTAACCAGTCAAACAAAACATGGGAGCTTAGAATATACTGTGGGAAATCATACAATAAAAAGTTAGGTGTTAATATGGTCCTTTCTGGTGTGGTCAAGTGGTCACAGCCTTGGCTTGAGGACCAAAGGGGCTGGGGTTAGACTCCTGGTCAAGGGCATGCACCTGAGTTGCAGGTTTGATCACTGTCCCAATTGGAGGATGTGCAGGATGCAAGCAATTGATGTGTCTCTCTCACATCGATGTTTTCTCTCCCTCCCTCTCCCTCCCTCCATCTCTCCTCCTCCCCTTCCTACATTCTCTAACTGGAGTCAGAGGTGAATCTTGGACTGAAGAAGACTTGTTGTGAGGAAGAAAGGCAGTTCTCATTGTTTCCACCTGTAGGGTTTGAACTGTTTGACAGAGTCGAAGCTTTGCTCTTCTATTTGACAAAAATAATCAGTTATTTTAAAGCTACAAATCTTAACTAATCTGGTCAATGAACAATTTCCCTGATCCTAAGTCAATATGGGAACTGAATTTCTGTTTTCTCATAACCCATTGTGAAAGCACATGAAAACAAATCCAAGTCCTGTCCAATGGAAGCTCTGCTTGATAATTAGTCTCCAATTTGTATTTGAGCAGAAGGTTTTGGCCAAACTAGTTCTCAGATTAGGTTAGTCTTTATGCTTCTCATTTTCTCCATGGCATGCCTCTGAATATGTTGTACCCTCAAAGAGAAGGCCTAGACTGGCCAGTGTGGCTCTGTTGGTTGGACGTTGTGCCATGCACCAAAGGTCACAGGTTCATTCCAGGTGAGGGCACATGCCAGGGTTATGGGCTCATTCCCAAGTAGAGGGGGTACAGGAGGCAGCAGGTAGATGTTTCTCCTTGTAGATGTTTCTATCTCTCCCTCTGCCTCCTTCTCTCTCTAAAGGGAAATAAAACATGTGAAAAATATTGAATTCGAAGAATGTGCTGAAATTCTTGGTCTTGGGGGTGTGGTCTGTTGTGAGTTTACAAAAAAAATCAGTGCCGTCCTACAGACAGGAACATACACTGTGTGAACACACTGGCTGGTGTCCATAGACCCCTAAGGACTGCAGTCCGATGAGAGAAAGTCACAGGGACATGCAGTCAGAGCTATTCCCAAGTGAATCTCCTGGTTGAGAAAGAACCTCACCGATTCTCAAGAAGTGTTTCACTTAAAGATAAATGTTTTATAACACTTTTGGATCCAGTTTATTACTTTTCTAAGGAAATTTCTACATGTCCGGGAATGAAGTCAAGAAATGATTGTGAAATCATTCACGAAAATTTACAGATGTTCCAGAACTCTTTGAAATTTGATATCTACCAAGTGACCTCATCAACTAGCATCCTGGTATTTCACGTATATCTGGGGTCTCCCTCACACTTGGTAAGGGCTCATGAAGCAGATTTAAACCCCAAACAGCAGCACTGGACTCTCTGTGCTAACACACCCGGGGAGCCCACCATGCTGTTACTAGTCAAGGTCATCCTCACCCTGTGGGTCTCCTGGGCTCGTGGACAAGGTGAGTTGAAATTGATGGGAATATTTAGCTCCTTCCTAAGTAGGACTGGACCTTTATCATTTGTCTTTCATTTTTTTTTAATCCTCTCTCCATTGATCTTTAGAAAGAGAAGGGAAAAGAGGGGAGAGGCAGAAAGAGAGAAAAAAGAGTAGAGGGAGAGGCAGAGAGACATCAGTGTGAGAGAGACTGGGTGCCTCTCGCCCAAGCCCCAACCAGGGCCTGGGATGGAAACTGCCACCGAGATATGTGCTCTTGACCAGGAGTCAAGCCCACCAGGTATGGGTATTTGAGGGTAATTTACCAAAACTTTGGTCTCTGCATTCATTAGGGACAATCTTTGACAACAAGTCATTTGCAGGAATGATGAAAAGCACCGAGACCGGCTAAATAAAAGCCACCTTTGACCCAATTCATCCGTCCTCTGTGCAAACTGGATGTTTCTACTGAATCACAACAGGGAGTGCCAATGTGGGATTATTATTCCAAATCTTAATGATGGCTTCTAACAGTAGGAACAATGTGGCCTCACACTTTGTACTGTCTCAGCTGTTACTCTTTTGGATAGAGGCACCTGCTCTGGCAATGTTTTAACAGCACCGTTTACTTTCATGCAGATGATGAGAGTAGGGAATTACAATTTGTCAAGGGATGTATGCCCACTGCTTGAAAGCAACCACCAGAAGTTCTTCTATTCCTAATTAATTTAACAAAATTCACCCAATAGTATTTGGTTGGTCTCTTAGGGATACATGTGTTTTTATATGTGTCTCATAGCTTTGGACTTCAAGCATTGGTGTTAAGTGTAGCTATACTATGAACTGAAAACTATCATATGTAGACTGGACTGCAATGGTAACATGAAAATATGATAGATATAGCAGATTAAAATGTGAGAGAAAATAAATGCATTTTTTATTTTTATTTTTAAAATATAGTTTACTGACTTTAGAGTGGAAGGAAAGGGAGAGAGAGCAGAAACATCAATGATGAGAAAGAATCCTTAATCGGCTCCCTCCTTCACACCCTCTCCTGGGGATCTAGCCCCCAATCTAGGCATGTGCTCTGACCAGGAATTGAACCATGATTTTTTTGGTTCATAGGTCAATACTCAACCCCCAAGCCACACCGGTCTGGCAAAAAAAAATGAACATTTTTCAGGTTCATTTGAGGTTAGTGTCAATTAACATTAAACTCTGGAGACATATTTTATTTAACACTTGTGTCAAGAAGGTCACATATATTTTCTACTAGTTTCTATATAATTGTTATACACACACACACACACACACACACACACACACACACACACGATGCTCTTTGAATGCCCTTTTGCTCTCTGGAAAGAACAAAAAAACATGACATTCACTTTATTCTCATGTCCTTGATGATTTTCATGTGATTTCTGCTTAACACACTTGTTTTTTTACTTTTCAGAAATAGCATGTGACCCTCCAATAATTGCAAACAGTCACTATATTCCTAAAAGGACCAATTACGGACTGGGACAAGAAATCACGTACTACTGTACAAGTGGCTTCTTCCCTTCCTCCTGGGGAAATACTGCAACATGTACTGACAAAGGCTGGGATCCTCCTCCAAGATGTAGCTGTAAGTTCCCTCCATATCTTCACCTGCTTCTTAATTCTGCGATTACTTCTCCTAAACTTAAAAATAAAGGGGATCTGTCTGGCCGGCGTGGCTCAGGGGTTGAGCATTGACCTGTGAACTAGGAGGTCAAGGCTCAATTCTTGGTCAAGGTACATGCCCAGTTTGGGGCTCAATCCCTAGTGTGGGGCATGCAGGAGGCAGCAGATCAATGATTCTCTCTGTTCATTGATGTTTCTGTCTCTCTCTCTCTCTCTCCCTCTCCCTTCCTCTCTGAAATTGATTTAAAAAATTAAAAGTTAAAAAAATAAAGGGTATCTCATAAGTTCAAATCTTTGCCTCACTGAGAAGGTAAAGCAGAGGGCTTCAAGGCAGTCTTTGATTTCTAAAATCCCCAATTCTAATTAAGAACAAAACCACATTTTTATTAATAAAAACTTTTAATTTTTGCTATTCAATGTTAAATATGTGGATGTGTATGTATGAATATATATTTATCTCACTAACATTCTAATATGTGAATTAGATCACTGGGTAAGAGCACTACCAGTCAACACCTAGAACATGAGATATTGATGTCTGTGTAACAAACGCCCCCGAACATACGGCCTCAGACAACAGCCCCCTATGTGTCAGCGTTGGCGGGTCAGGATTTGGGAGCCACTTAGCTGCCTGGTTCTGGGTCCTCCCTGCTGCTCCCTGGGATGCTGCCCAGGGCGAGTGCAGGAGCCCCTGCAGCCGTCCCCCTGGGCGTCTCCATCGGCGTCCTGAGGGCAGGAACCCTCCCCAGAGCGATGACCTGAGGGCCCTGGTGGCGCCTCCAGAGCATCGATGACCTGGTCACACACGGTCCCCTCAGCCACGTGACCTCTTCAGAAGAGCGCCCCTCACTCCAGCCTCACTCAAGGGAGAGGCACGGTGCTCCCTTGTATGAGGGGATGAATGTGGGAGACATTGTGCACTTTCTAAAGCCCCACCTGTCACACACGCCCCTCAGTCCACAGGGCACTTTATTCCTGGGGGGCTGCCCCTTTTCCAGTGTTTTCTGTCTCTACAATCTCATTGCCTGCTCCTTGGTATCAGTTCATTGGAAAAGGGGCCCGCGCTTAAGCTGGATCTTCCATGGATGACAAATGAAATGATACACATAGCAGGTCAATGGCTCAGGGTTCATTCAAGGCCAAGGCCATATGTCGACAGTCAGGTGCCTTAAAGAGGAGGCTATTTCCACAGTGAAATAGACCTCAGTGTGCATAACAATGACAAGGAGAGTGATGATTTATGCAGATAATATTGACCTACAGTGTTGTATTTCTTTAAGGTGTTCACTATAATGATTCCTTATTTGTATATCTTGTGAAATGTTCAGAAAACAAGTGTTATTCACATCATCTGAAGATTATAATTTTTCTTGTCCTAGAAAGCCTGATGCAATGAGTTTAATTAGGTGCATATGGGAGTATAATTCATCAATGAAACAAGTGATCTCTCATTACATTTATATTAAGGCAAAACATCACTTATACTGTGCTTTGTTTGTTTTAATTGCTAGTAAATCCCTGTGAATTTCCAGAAATAAAGCATGGACTCCTATACAGCGAAGAAACGTATAGATCATACTTCCCAGCACCAATAAACCAATGGTTTTACTATTCCTGTGATGAAAACTATGTGACTCCTCCTGGATATTTCTGGCATTACATTACTTGCACAAAAAATGGATGGACTCCGGAAGTGCCCTGCCTCAGTGAGTGAACCTCTCTGTGCTATGCACGTAGCAATAGTTCAGAGTTCAGAGAGCAAACATGAGCACCGCTAAGTCTGTGTGAGAAAAATACAGTCAAGGGAAGAGTTCTATGAGCAGAAAGACCAGTATAGGTATTTTATTTTATGAAAGGTCCCTCACTGAAAACATGGGAGTTGAAAAAAAGATTTTATAACGATGTTGATATCATTTACTCATAGTTTAATTGTGAAAACTACAGATAAATCATCTTCAATCTTCTTTTTTCTTTTTCAAACACATTTACTAGCAACTTTCATTATACTTAAGCTGCATGTTGGGACGCTTATGCATTCTAGTTTAAAGATTGTAAAGATGATTTCAAATTCATGACTATAACTACATTTATTGTTTTTTCTGATCATTGTGTAATTCTCAGGAAAGTGTGTTTTCAATGATTTGGAACATGTACGTAATCCACCTACACAACAAAGATTGTTACAGGGACAGTCTATCAAAATTGACTGCCATCCGGGCTACAGTCTTCTAAACCCACAGAGCAATGTGACATGTACGGAGAATGGCTGGTCCTCGCCTCCCAGCTGCATCAGTAAGTGAACCTCCCTGATGTCCAGTCCATTTGCGATTTTCTAAAGCCAGACGTATCGCTGTGGAAAGTTTAATGTGTCAACTCTCAAGGTGAATGTGCCAAGCCTTCTTGGCTTTAAAACAAAGGCCTATTTCATTTCCTGTTCCAAATGTGTGTGCAAAGTTTTAAATTTTTGATAACAAATAGGTCGTTAATTTATTGCAGTCAGTGACAGTGAGCAATCAGTCACGAATATTGTAAATACTGTTGAATGAAACAGATTAAGATCACATACTGTATGTGTTCATTGAAGAAACATTGAAAATTTCATTTAAATTAAAAATAAATACACTGCTTGCCCAATGTCAACCATTTCACCTATGATTGCATGTATTCATGCTATGAGGTTATAAATGAAGATTCTCATATGCAGTCATATCTGGCTTTTACATGTTAAGTACACAGGATTCTATAAGTCGTTTTTTGGGCGTTTAGAAATAAGTGAATAATTGTTATGGACATGGAATTATACATCAGGATATAATAGAGCTGATCTTTCATTGGAGTCTTCTTACATGTGTGGATCAAAGCAGTGATCACTGACTTGAACTGGGAATTCAGGAATCTACTGAGCCCCGTGGAAACAACAGCCTGAGCACCTAAAGGAGTCTCTTTATCCTGCTTTCCCTACACCTGGTACATGGGTTGTAATACTTACTATTAATTCACTCAGACTAAGAACATTTATAGATATTAAAAAAATAAGACTGTTTCAGGGAATACTAAACTATATGCTATAGAAAGTGGGCAAATTGACTTAAAAAGCACACAAAGAGATATCAGTTCTTACATTTTTAAATATTGTTCTCCATTTCATAGACTCCCTTTAGTGAAAAAGCAGTACCCTTTGCAGTTCATTTTTAAAATCAATGTGGATAAACTTTCAGTTCTGGGAATCATTAGGGAAAGGACGGTGTTTTATATAAACACATGGGTCATATATCCAAGGACTACAGTCTTTCTCTAAGACTCACACTCTTAGTGTTAGTATGTCTGCTACATAAATACATACATTACCTCTTACATTCTCAAATGGTGTTGTCCTTCAAATGACAGCATCATATCATGATAGTAGTGTAATTTAGTAACAGCCAGTGACATACTAACAGTCAAAAATGGGTCAGACCAAAGGTTCCTAACCTATATTTAGAGGTATTGAATGGTAGGAGAAAGGATGTGTAAGGAAATCTAGGCTTCATGTTATATAACTCTTCCAGGCCAGAACCACACTGATTCAGAGAGTTGTCACATGATACTACACTTATCCACACACTGATGGTAAAGTTTAGTATTGCCAGAATGAGATTTTCTTAGTTGGATTCTACATGATATGGCATTAGAAACACAATGGTCACCTTTATTTTGCTTTAGAACTTTGTGACATGCCCATTTTTGAGAATGCCACAGCCATAATCACCGGAAAACCATTTCGACTCAATGACACGTTGGACTACCAGTGCCTGGATGGCTATGAAAACAGAGATGGAAGCACCATAGGCTCCATGGTGTGTGGTGAGGGCGGCTGGCTCCACTTGCCAACCTGCTTTAGTAAGTATTTTGATTCCAGCATTTCCTTTTCCAAGAGCTGAAAAGTCTACATATGAGGAGCACATGCTGGTTACAAGGTTTAAAATGCAGAAGAGGGACAATAATCCTTGTGCAGCTTTACATGAATAGTTTCCAACAAAACTACAATTTGTTCTTCAACATTTAAAATGCTCTTTTTCAGAATCTGCAGACAAGTGTGGGCCTCCTCCAGCGATTAACTATGGAGACATCACCTCCGTCCCATTGGAAGGGTACCTTCCGGGGTCAAGAGTGGAATACCAATGCCAGGACTACTATGAACTCCGGGGTCCTCAATATGTAACCTGTAGTTATGGAAAGTGGTCCAAACCCCCGAGATGCATAGGTAAGTTCTCAAGATTCTTCTGGATCCTGAGACCATGAGGGTGATGTTGATGAGCCGGTGTGTGGTCTACTAGTCATGCAGTCAGATCTAGAACTGTGCTCACCAACAGCTCTCCTGCTCAATGTTTCACATTCGGAGACTCGTGTGTAGGGCTGTGAGCCTGGAGAATCCCTATGTGAACAATGATAAAGGTCCTTTAAACAGGAACATTGGGAGAGGCTGATTCTGATACATTAGCTGATCCCACTGTGGACCCTCCCTGACTCATCCTCTCCTGTGTATGTGTCCCCTTCTGCGGGAGATCACAGCAAACCCAGTAAGTCCAGGACCGGAAATCAAAGTTAATATACCCAAGTCAGAATAGTCTAGAAATAGCTCCAAACTAGGTTATATAGAAAGCAAAATATTAAATTTCAAAAAAAATTCTAAATCTGAAGTTGAAATGATTGAGTAGATGGACAAGTCTAACACATGTCTCCCTGCACAAGCAAGACCTGCTCCCACAACCTTGAATAGGTCCTTCAGTCTTCATTATCTGTGGACATCAAATCAGTTCGGTGAAGGAGTTAAGACTGTATTTGAGTCTTGGAATTGAAATACGCAGAGAGCATTTAAGATCATCAAAGGCAACATCCAACATCGTGTAAAAAATTACACAGACATATGGTCTATTAAAGCAAGGAGGTAAATATTGCTTGGAGTAGTAAAGTTAGAAAGGGAAGATCAGAAAAAGTATTTTGGCAGGTGTGTGGAACTCACATAGTGTATACTTCTGAATGTATTGGGCAACATTTCAAAACTTTTGGATCTGAGGAGTCATATGTGTTATTCCATCATGTTTCATCATGTAATAGTTATGGGATGTGTTGGAACAGAACTTTCAGCTATGTCCAAAGGCTTATCAATGACAGTGATGGCTGAACTAGAATATAAAATACTTGCATCAAGAGAAGAGAAATAGGAGTCCATGATATCTTCAAATTTTGACATAAGAAGAGTTGAAATACTGCCATTTGCAACAACACAGATGGACCTTAAGAATATCATGCTAAGTGAAATAAGTCAGACAGAAAATATATGAACCATTGATTTCACTTATATGTGGGATATAAAACTGAAACAACCAATGAACAAACAATAAAAAGAAACAAAATCTCACAGACAAAGACCACACTATAGTGGGTACCAGTAGTGCCCAGTGGGTGGGGCAGCAGTAGAGGATTAAAGAGGGTCAGATACATGGCAATGAAAGATGATTTGATTTTGGGTGATGGGCACACAATGCAATATACAGGTAATGTTTCATAGAATTAAACATTTAAAGCCTGTATAATATTATTCACCAATGTCACTCCATAAATATAATTTTTTTAAAAGCAAATTAAAATTTTGGGCATGTATAAAGTCCTACAATGTAAGAACAGTTTGCCCATAGGGGGAAAAAAAGGTCTGAAACTTTATTACAATACTAGAGGCTCAGTGCAGGAAAATTCATGCACTTGGGGGTAGGTTCCTTCAGCCCAGCTTGCACCCTCTCGGGAGCATGTACACCTGCCGGCTTAGGCCCGTTCTCAGGGGATCAGGCCTAAGCTGGCAGTCAGACATCCCTCTGGCAGCCTGGGAGCCTTTGGGGGATGAACGACTGATGGCTTAGGCCCACTGCCCACAGGGATTGGGCCTAAGCCACAGTCAGACATCCATAACACTGCCAAAGAGGCAGAAGAGGCTCCCGCCACCACTGCTGCGCTCACAGCTATCACCCCGGCTTGTGGCTGAGTGGAGCTCCCTCTGTGGGATCGCACTGACCACTAGGGGGCAGCTCCTGCAATGGTGCCATTCCCAGTCCTTCCACCATTATGGTCAATTTGCATAATACCCTTTTATTATATACTAGAGGCCCAGTGCACAAATTCATGCACCATTGGGGTCCTTCAGCCTTGCATGCATGATCGGGCCAAAAGTGGTTCTCTGACATCCCCTGAGGGGTCCTAGATTGCGAGAAGGTGCAGGCCAGACCGAGGGACCCCACTGGTGCACGATTGGGGCTGGGGAGGGATGCAGGAGGTTGGACTGAGGGAGGGCTCCAGGATGTGTCCGGCCCATCTCACTCAGTCCTTATCGGCCAGACCACAGCAGCAAGCTAACCTACACTGACCACCAGGGGGTAGGGGTGTCTGCCCCCTGGTAGTCAGTGTACATCATAGGGAGCGGTTGAGCGGCCTTAGCATATGATTAGCATATTATGCTTTGATTGTTTGAACCGACAAATAGACAACCGGACACTTAGCATATTAGGCTTTTATTACATAGGAGGATATGAATGTTGCATACAGTCACATTGCAAAAGCAATACACTTGGCCCACAATGATGTACATTTGCTCTTTGTGGTGAGCTGTTTCTGTTTCCCGCGACCCGCACGGGAAAACGACAGGTTCCTGAGCGGAGGAGCTGGGGATTAGAAAATAAAGAAAAAACGAGACCAGACACAGAAATAGAGACAAGCTGGGGCCAGGTGGGGGGCTGCCACTCTGATGGAGGGACAGTCACACCCACCACAGACAACACAGCGCATTTATTTACTTCCAAAGGGGAGGTTTAAGGTCAAAGGAATTTTGGGTGTACCCAGGTCCTATTCATTCCTCATTCCTGGCACAAGGACAGGATTTAGCATATCAAGACCTGGGTAGGTCGATTCATTCCTTATTCCCAGCACATGGATAAAGATAAGATATCAGTACTGATAACAGTCTCCGACATTTTGGGAGGCTGTTTTTCCGGGAGACGGCCCTGCCAGTCACCTCGGACTCAGCTGACATTAATTTAAAGGTCATCCATGTGCATTCCCAGGGGGCCCTCTACAGCTCTTTCCTTATTTCATCCTCTAAGCTAGTCATTGGGTTGAAGGTTAATTTGTTCATAAAAGGAAAGATTACTAATTGTTTTTATTTATTTCTTCTACTCTTAGTTCCATGTGTAATATCAGAAATAATCATGAATGAAAAGAACATACGGATAAAAGGGAAAAATGACAAAATCTATTATGCAAAAGCAGGGGATATCATCAACTTTATGTGCAAATCGGGACGCAAGGCGGCAACGTCAAAGGAGTCATTTCAAGCCATGTGTCTCGAAGGGGCAGTGGAGTTCCCCATATGTGAATGAGGAAGCCTTGTGGCCCCAAATATGTGGCCAGTCCCACCTACTGCTCTTTGCCTCAAAGCTTGCCAGGCTTCTGGCATTTCCTGCTCTTTTCCACTATATTTCAAAGGACATAAAAGCAATATGTTAGCCCCCTTTTCAACTTAATCTTCTCCCAAAGTTTTTAACACAACTATATCATTGCTTATACTTGTACCAAAAAAATAATTCTTCACTATCATGAGATTAGAATATTTGGCAATTGAGCAATAAACAGCAATGGACATAACAGTGTGGCTTTCTGCATATTCAATCGGATCTTCAACCAGTCAAACAAAATATGTAAACTTAGAAGATACTGTAGGAAATCATATATATAAAAAGAGATAATATGCAAATTGACCATCACTCCAACACACAAGATGGCTGCCCCCATGTGGTCAAAGATGGCCAACCTATGTGGACACAAGATGGCCGCCACAAGATGGCCAGCAGGGGAGGGAAGTTGTGGGCGATCAGGCCAGCAGGGGAGAGCAGTTAGGGGCAACCAGGCTCAGCAGGGGAGGGCAGTTAGGGGAAACCAGGCCTACAGGGGAGGGCAGTTAGGGGTGACCAGGCCTGCAGGGGAGGGCAGATAGGGGTAACCAGGCTGGCAGGGAAGGACAGTTAGGGGCGACCAGGCTGGCAAGGGAGGGAAGTTAGGGGTGACTGGGCCTGCAGGGGAGGGCAGATAGGGGCTATTGGGCTAGTAGGGGAGCAGTTAAGCATTGATCAGGCTGGCAAGGGAGTAGTTAGCTAGTGATCAGGCTGGCAGGCAGAAGCAGTTAGGGGCAATCAGGCAGGCAGGTGAGCGGTTGGGAGCCAGCAGTCTTGGATTGTGAGAGGGAGGTTCGGCTGCCCTCTAAATGGGCAGTCAGACATCCCTAGAGGGGTCCCAGATTGGAGAGGGTGCGGTCTAGGCTAAAGGTCACACTCCCCCTGTGCACGAATTTTGTGCACCAGGCCTCTAGTAGTACAATAAAAAGTTATGTGTTAAAATTGCCCTTTTGCCCTACCTGGTTTGGCTCAGGGGATAGAGCGTTGGCCTGCAAACTGAGGGGTCCCGGATTCAATTCCGGTCAAGGGCACATGCCTGGGTTGCAGGCTTGATCCCCAATGGGGGACTTGCAGGAGGCAACCGATCAATAATTCTCTTTCATCATTGATGTTTGGATCTCTCTCTCCCTCTCCCTTCCTTTTTGAAATCAATAAAAATATTAAAAAATAAAATTGCCCTTTCTGGTGTGGTTCAGTGGTCACAGAATTGGCCTGCGGGCCAAAAGATCTAGGGTTAGATTCCTGGTCAAGGGTATGTGCCTGGGTTGAAGGTTTGATCACTATCCCAGTTGGAGGATGTGCAAGACGCAAGCAATTGATGTGTCTCTCTCACATCAATATTCTCTCTCTCTCTCTCCGTCCCTCTCTCTCTCCATCTCTCCTCCTCCCCTTCCTACATTCTCTAACTGGAGTCAGAAGTGAATCGTGGACTGAAGAAGACTTGTTGTGAGGAAGAAAGGCAGTTCTCATTGTTTCCACCTGTAGGGTTTGAACTGTTTGACAGAGTCGAAGCTTTGCTCTTCTATTTGACAAAAATAATCAGTTATTTTAAAGCTACAAATCTTGACTTATCTGGTCAATGAACAATTTCCCTGATCCTAAGTCAATATGGGAACTGAGTTTTTGTTTTGTCATAACCCATTGTGAAAGCACATAAAAACAAATCCAAGTCTCGTCCATTTGAAGCTCTGTGATAACTAGTCTTCAATCAGTATTTCGGCAGAAGTTTATTAGCCAAACTAGTTCTCTGTTTGGATTAGACTTTACACTTCCCATTTGCTCCATGGCATGCCTCTGAATATGTTGTACCCTGAAAGAAAAGGTGCCTAGACTGGCCAGTGTGGCTGTGTTGGTTGGATGTTGTCCCATGTACCAAGAGGTGACCGGTTCATTCCAGGTGAGGGCACATGCCAGGGTTATGGGCTCATGCCCAAGTATAGGGGGTACAGGAGGCAGCAGGTAGATGTTTCTCTGTCCTTGTAGATATTTCTATCTATCTCTCTGCCTCCTTCTTTCTCTAAAAGGAAATAAAACATGTGAAAAATATTGAATGTGAAGAGTGTGCTGAAATTCTTGGACTTGGTGGTGTGGTCTGTTGTGAGCTTACAAAAAAACCGTGCTGTCCTACAGACAGGATCGTACACTGTGTGAATACACTGGCTGGTGTCCATAGACCCCTAAGGACTGCAGTCGGGGGAGAGCAACAAGAGGACGAGAGACCGTCACAGGGACAGGCAGTCAGAGCTACTCCCAAGTGAATCTCCTGGTTGAGAACGAACTTCACCCATCCTCAAGAAGTGTTTCATTTAAAGAAAATTGTTTTATATCACTTTTGGATCCAGTTTATTACTTTTCTAAGGAAATTTGTACAAGTACATGTCAGGGAATGAAGTCAAGAAATGATTCACTGTGAAATCATTCACGAAAATTTACGGATATTCCAAAACTCTGAAATTTGATATCTACCAAGTGACCTCAGTCAACTAACATCCATCCTGATATTTCACTTAAATCCGAGGTCTCACACACACTTGGTAAGGGCTCATTTGAAACCCCAAACAGCAGGGCTGGACGATCTGTGCTAACACATCCCGGGGAGCCCCACCATGCAGTTACTAGTCAAGGTCATCCTCACCCTGTGGGTCTCCTGGGCTCGTGGACAAGGTGAGTTGAAACTGATGGGAATATTTAGCTCCTTCTTAAGTAGCATTTGACCTTTATCATGTGTCTTTAAGTTTTTTTTTAATCCTCACATGAAGATTGATCTTTCAATCCTCTCTCCATTGATCTTTAGAGTGAGAGAGGACAGCAGGGAGAAGGGAGAGAAAGAGAGAGAGGGAAAAATGTAGAGGGAGAGGCAGAGAGAGAGAAAAAAGGGTAGAGGGAGAAGCAGAGAGAGACATCAATGTGAGAGAGACTGGGTGCCTCTACCCCAAGTACCAACCAGGGCCTTGGATGGAAACTGCCTCCGAGACATGTGTGCCCTTGACCAGGAGTCAAGCCCACCAGCTATGGGCTATTGGAGGGTAATTTACCAACACTTTGGTCTCTGCATTCATTAGGGACAATCTCTCACAATACGTCATTTGCAAGAATGATGAAAAGCACCGAGACCGGTTACATAGAAACCACCTTTGGCCCAATTCATCCGTCCTCTGTGCAAACTGGATGTTTCTACTGAATCACAACAGGGAGTGCCAATGGGGGATTATTATCCCAAATCTTAATGATGGCTTCTAACAGTAGCAACAATGTGGCCTCACACGTTTGTACAGTCTCAGCTGTTACTCTTTTGGATAGAGGCACCGGCCCTGGCAATGTTTTAACAGCACCATTTACTTTCATGGAGATGATGAGAGTAGCGAATTACAATTTGTCAAAGGGTTTATGCCCACTGCTTGAAAGCAACCACCAGAAGTTCTTCTATTCTTAATTAATTTAACAAAATTTTCCCAATAGTATTTGGCTGGTCTCTTAGGGAAGCGTGTGTTTTTATATGTGTCTCCTGGCTTTTGACTTCATACATTGGTGTTAAGTGTAGCTATACTATGAAGTGAAAACAAAGATAGGTAGACTGGACTGCACTGGTAACATGAAAATCTGATTTATAGATATAGCAGATTAAAATGTGAGAGAAAATAAATGTATTTTTTATTTTTAAAATATAGTTTATTGACTTCAGAGAGAAAGGGAAAGGGAGAGAGAGTAGAAACATCAATGATGAATGAAAAAGAATCCTTGATGGGTTCCCTCCTTCACACCCCCTCCTGGGGATTCAAGGCCCCAACCAGGCATGTGCCCTGACCAGGAATTGAACCATGATTTCTTGCTTCATAGGTCAATACTCAACCCCTAAGCCACACCGGCTGGCAAAAAAATGAACATTTTTTTCAGGTTCATTTGAGGTTAGTGTCAATTAACATCAAACTCTGGAGACATAATTTACTTAACACTTGTGTCTAGAAGGTCACATATATTTTCTACTAGTTTTAATATAATCGTTGCTGATATATATAAGGACAGGGTGCTCGTTTGAATGCCCTTTTACTCTTTGGAAAGAACAAAAACATGATATTCGCTTTATTCTCATGTCCTTGATGATTTTCATGTGATTTCTGCATAATGCGCATGTCCTTTTACTTTTCAGAAATAGCATGTGACCCGCCAAGAATTGCAAACAGTCACTACCTTCCTAAAAGGACCAATTACGGACTGGGACAAGAAATCACGTACTACTGTACAAGTGTCTTTTTTCCTTCCTCCCGGGGAAATTCTGCAAAATGTACGGACAAAGGCTGGGATCCTCCTCCAAGATGTAACTGTAAGTTCCCTCCATATCTTCACCTGCTTCTTAATTCTGCAATTACTTCTCTTAAACTTAAAAATACAGGGGATCCGTCTGACCGGCGTGGCTCAGGGGTTGAGCATTGACCTGTGAACTAGGAGGTCACGGTTCAATTCTTAGTCAAGGAACATGCCCAGTTTGGGGGCTCAATCCCTAGTGTGGGGTATTGCAGGAGGCAGCAGATCAATGATTCTCTCTGTTCATTGATGTCTCTCTCTCTCTATCTATCTATCTATCTATCTTTCTCTCTCTCCTCTCTCTCTCCCCTCTCCCTTCCTCTCTGAAATCAATTTAAAAAACTAAAAATTAAAAAACAAAGGGGACCTAAGAGGTCCAAATCTTTGCCTCACTGAGAAGGTAAAGCAGAGGGCTTCAAGGCAGTCTTTGATTTCGACCTTCACTCAAGGGAGGGGCACGGGCTCCCTTGTATGAGGGGATGAATGTGGGAGACATTGCGCACTTTCTAAAGCCCCACCTGTCACACACGCCCCTCAGTCCACAAGGCACTTTATTCCTGGGGGGCTGCCCCTTTTCCAGTGTTTTCTGTCTCTACAATCTCATTGCTGCTCCTTGTGTATCAGTTCATTGGAAAAGGGGCCCACACTTAAGCTGGATCTTCCATGGATGACAAATGAAAGGACACACATAACAGGTCAATGGCCCAGTGTTCATTCAAGGCCAAGGCCAAATGAATGTGGACAGTCAGGTGCCTTAAAGAGGAGGCCATGACCACTGTGACACAGAGCTCAGTGTCCATAACAATGACAAGGAGAGTGATGATTTATGTAGATAAAATATCATTTAAATAATCATGATGTAGATAATGATTTGATATTTGTATATATTGTGAAATGATCATAAAACAAGTGTTATTCACATCATCTGAAGAGTATAATTTTTCTTGTCCTAGAAAGCCTAATGCAATGAGTGTAATTAGGTGCATATGAGAATATAATTCATCAATGAAACAATGTATCTCTCATTACATTTTTATTAAGGTAAAACATCACTTATACTGTGCTTTGTTTGTTTTAATTGCTAGTAAATCCCTGTGAATTTCCAGAAATAAAGCATGGACTCCTATACAGCGAAGAAACGTATAGATCATACTTCCCAGCACCAATAAACCAATGGTTTTACTATTCCTGTGATGAAAACTATGTGACTCCTCCTGAAGATTTCTGGCATTACATTACTTGCACAGAAGATGGATGGACCCCGGAAGTGCCCTGCCGCAGTAAGTAAACCTCTCTGTGCTGTGCACGTGGCAATAGTTCAGAGTTCAGAGAGCAACACATGAGCACCCCTAAGCCTGTGTGGGAAAAATAGGTCAAGGGAAGAGTTCTATGAGCAGAAAGACCAATACAGATATTTTCTTTTACGAAAGGTCCCTCATTAAAAACATGGGAGATGAAAAAAAGAAGACTTTATAACAATGTTGATATCATTTATTCATAGTTTAATTGTGAAAACTATAGATAAATCATCTTCAATCTTGGTTTCCTTTTTCAAACACATTTACTAGCAACTTTCGTTGTACTTAAGGTGCCTGTTGGAATGCTTATGCATTCTAGTTTAAAGATTGTAACCGGGGTCCATTGCGGAGAACCCTTCATCCTGGGAAATGGGGTGTGGTCGGAAAGGGGGGCCGCCCCCTTGCCCTTCACGGAACCCACGTTTGTGGGGAACCTGGTGCTAAGCCTTTCCTAAACCACAGGCTTCTAGGTCGGGGTTTCATAGGTAGCAGAGCAGCTCCCTCACTGTGATCTATTGAAAGTCAGCCCTGGACGCAGGGTTTGTCTCCCTCCAGCCTCTCTTCCTTCCCAGGCGGGGGCGGCCAACCCCCTCGGGGCAACCAAGGGAAGGAAGGGGAGGGAAATGGCTTCAGCGTCCGCGTCCATTCACCTTCCTTTCGCGCCCAGACCAGCCAGCCGTGGCCTCCTCTCCCGAACCCCACTGTGGCCTTGGGGCCCGGGCTGGGACAGGGAGGAGGGGGTGGGTGACGGCGGATGCCATCCCTTTCCAAGTGGGGCCAAGGGCCGGCTCCCCTCTCCCCATCTTTCCCCCAGCCCCTTCTCCTCCCCAGTGGTCGACCAGCACTCCCCACAATGGGCGGCCAGGAGAACTGTTGCTTGGTGGCTCTGGTCGACCAGATGGCTGAACCTGGACTTAGTCTCGACCCATGGTGGGGAGAGATTGGGTCGACCAGATGTCTTGGCCGGCCCGGCCTTTGTCTCCATCGGTGGGTGAGTGATTGGGTTGACCAGTAGTCTGTGGAGATGAGAGATTGAAAACTATGGACTGGTGGTTGGGGAGGGGGTGGGGGCAGGCCAAGGGCGGGGCCACAGCCAAAGAGGAAGTAAATGGTCACAGAACTTTAAACATAAATAAATAAATAAGATTGTAAAGATGATTTTTAATCTATGACTACATTTATTCATTTTTCTGATCATTGTGTAATCCTCAGGAAAGTGTGTTTTTAATGATTTGGAACATGTACGTTCTCCATCTAAAGAACAAAGATTGTTACAGGGACAGTCTATCAAAATTGATTGCGATCCTGGCTACAGTCTCTCAGACCCACAGAGCACAGTGACATGTACGGAGAATGGCTGGTCCTCGCCTCCCAGCTGCATCAGTAAGTGAACCTCCCTGATGTCCAGTCCATTTGCGATTTTCTAAAGCCAGACGTATCGCTGTGGAAAGTTTAATGTGTCAACTCTCAAGGTGAATGTGCCAAGCCTTCTTGGCTTTAAAACAAAGGCCTATTTCATTTCCTGTTCCAAATGTGTGTGCAAAGTTTTAAATTTTTGATAACAAATAGGTCGTTAATTTATTGCAGTCAGTGACAGTGAGCAATCAGTCACGAATATTGTAAATACTGTTGAATGAAACAGATTAAGATCACATACTGTATGTGTTCATTGAAGAAACATTGAAAATTTCATTTAAATTAAAAATAAATACACTGCTTGCCCAATGTCAACCATTTCACCTATGATTGCATGTATTCATGCTATGAGGTTATAAATGAAGATTCTCATATGCAGTCATATCTGGCTTTTACATGTTAAGTACACAGGATTCTATAAGTTGTTTTGTGGGTGTTTAGAAATAAGAGAATAATTGTTATGGACATGGAATTATACATCAGGATATAATAGAGCTGATCTTTCATTGGAGTCTTCTTACATGTGTGGATCAAAGCAGTGATCACTGACTTGAACTGGGAATTCAGGAATCTACTGAGCCCCGTGGAAACAACAGCCTGAGCACCTAAAGGAGTCTCTTTATACTGCTTTCCCTACACCCGGTACAT